CCAAAAAAATTATTTATTTAATTTTTTTTTTAAAATTTTTTTTTTAACGTTTTTATTTATTTTTGAGACCAGGAGAGACAGAGCATGAACAGGGGAGGGTCAGAGAGAGGGAGACACAGAATCTGAAACAGGCTCCAGGCTCTGAGCTGTCAGCACAGAGTCCAACATGGGGCTCAAACTCACAACCCCGAAATCAAGAGTCACATTCTCTCCCAACAGAGCCAGCCAGGCGTGCCTGATTACTAATTTTTGAAAAGCTTGCTTTTTTATGATTGTCCGGTAAAATTCTGGTGGCACTCCTTTGGTGCTTTACAGACTTCTTTTCAAAACTTCACTGAACCATCATTTACACTCAAGCACACCCCCTTTGAGTGTGCAGTTTGATGAGCTGACAGATGTATAGACCCAAAGGCAGTGTTTAGACCTAAGGCTAACCTAAAGCAATTTATCAGTCTCTGAGAGCAAAGATCTGAGAGCGGACAATGGTCTCCTTTTTAATTTAAAAGCAGTGTGGGAAAAGGAATATTACTTTGCTTTGCAAGGCAATGCTGAAAATGTACCAGTAATTAGGATGATGTTTGTGTGGAAAAGGTGGCTGGTAGTTTAAAATGGAGATGAATCACAGACCCTAAGGCATCTGGGGCTCAAGCCCTGGTAGTGGCCACACCATTTGTATGACCTATGGCACATGAGCCTGAGTTGGATTTTCTCAGGTGTCTCTCCTCTGAATTGGGGGTGAGGGTAGTGCCTACTCTAAAACATGGCTGTCAGGCTGAGGACAGTGCCTGGAAAATACTAAATAGATCCTAATTATTAGACCTGTGTTAGCACAGTGAGTAGGCTTCCATCCCTTTGAGAAAGCTCTTTTCTCTAGGGTAGTAGTTTGCAAGTTTTTCGGTCTCAGGACCCATGTGTGCTCTTTAAAACTTGAGGACCCTGAAGACCTTTTATGTATATAGGTTATATCTACCAAGTGTATTGTATTCCAAATTAAAACTGGGGAATTTAGAAAATATTTCTGAAACAACCCCGTGACCCAGCAACGGATAACACATTTTTGTGAAAAATGACTTTTCCAGAATAGAAAAGATGTAGTGAGAAGGGTGCATATTCTTTGACATGCTTTTACATCTCTGTATTATCTAGTTTATTTTTTTTAATTAAAATTTTTTTAATGTTTATTTATTTTTGAAAGAGAGAGAGTGGGAGCAGGGGAGGGCCAGAGGGAGAGAGGGAGACACAAAATCCGAAGCCGGCTCCAGGGTCTGGGCCGTCAGCACAGCGCCCGACGCGGGGCTTGAACCCATGAATGGTGAGATCGTGACCTGAGCTGAGGTCGGATGCTTAACTGACTGGGCCACCCAGGCACCCACATACTATCCAGTTTCGAAGATATTCTCCTATCCATCTCCGTTTGATCTCTTGTGATAAATTGTTTTGGTAGTTTTTGAAGAAAATCCAACTTTGGCCAGATATGTGGATGGAAAAGGGAAGAGTATTTCGATAGCTTGTTCAGTGGATATTCTTTGAAAACTACACCAACACTTGACAAGTAGCAGTTCCTTAAAGCTGAGTTGTCATGTAGAAACTGAAACAATATCCGTGAAGTTTTTGTACGTTGAAGTCCATTGTTTTCTTTTATGCCTTGACTGGATCTTTTACTTGTATGTGACTTTGTAACATCACCCACTGTTTTTTGGGGAAATACAGTTCATTGATTGATGTAGATCTTCAAATGTTGACAATTCCATTATACAGGATGAAAAGTTACATTTGTTAGTGTCACTACTGATTTCATCAGTAAAGTCTTTAGGTATTGGGAAGCTGTCAAGCTCACTGTAGTGGATACAGGTTTTCCCAACATTCTAGTTTCCAAATGAAAGCCCCAAGTTTCACTGGCAGCAAATTGTCAACAGTTTTCTTTGAAGTGACAGGCTCACCTTATTCATTTTTGAGAAGATGTCTGCCCAATATACCCAAATCTAAATGAGTAATGTCTCAATTTTTCTTCCAAGTAAGAGTGATATTCCATGATAAAAGCTCCTGGTTGATCCTATAAACCAAACAATTGTCATGTGAGACCTTCAGTGTGCCGCAGAAATGAATATTCCCCACTTTGCCACTCCCCAAATCGAAAAGTCATGTATTTAAGGGTTGTGATTAAATACAAATAAAAATCTTTACTGCTTCGTCGAGGACATGTTTTTTTAATGTTTATTTTTGAGACACAGAGAGAGAGAGAGACAGAGAATGAGAACGAGAATGAGCGGGGGGAGGGGCCGAGAGCGAGGGAGACACCGATTCTGAAGCAGGCTCCAGGCTCTGAGCTGTCAGCACATACCCTGAAGCAGGGCTCGAACCACGGGCCATCAGATCATGCCCTCAACCATCAGATAATACCCTGAGCCAAAGTCAATCAACTGAGCCACCCAGGCGCCCCCATCAAGGACATTCTTGAGTGACACCAGCCTTTTGGTTTTTTTCTCCCTGAGTACACGGTGGTGAAGAACATGACTGCTAGCATAGCATGATTCATGCTGTTACCACAGTTTTACTCCAACATTAACACAATGAAAAAGGCAAATAATATCTTCGTGTTAGGTTATCTTAATATATCTTAGTGTTCTGAAAATAATTTAGCTTGCAGACCCCATGGGGCACCTGGATGGCTCAGTCGGTTAAGTGGCCCACTCTTGATTTTGGCTCAGGTTATGATCTCTCCGTTCCGTGAGTTCGAGCCCCACGTTGCGCTCTGTGCTCATGGCACGGAACCTGCTTGGGATTCTCCCTCTTTCTACTCCTTCCACGATGGTGCACTCTCTCTCTCTCAAAATAAATAAACTTAGAAAAAAAAAAAAAAACAAAACCTTGCAGACGCCCTGAAAAAGTCTCCGGGAACCCCAAGGGTCCATGGACCATACTTTGAGAAGCACTGATCTAGGGAAAGGCAGACCAATTGTAGCTCTTTGAGACTGTAAGTCTTTGAACAGGTACAGAGGTGGTACAACCTTTATGGCTGTACTGTAAAATATGTACTGTGTAAGAGTTAACTAATGCTTCTGTAGTGCTTCCCTGTGTGCCGGGCACTGTCTAAAGATGAGTGTGTGTGTGTGCGTGTGTGTGTGTGTGCGTGCGTGTGTGTGTGCGTGCGTGTGTGTGCGTGTGTGCGTGTGCGTGTGTGTGTACCTACATATCTCCTTACTTTCATTGTCTCTTTTATGCCCACACTAACTGTATAAGGTGGATACTCTTATCATCCCGTTTTACCAGAAAAGGAACCAGAATAATGGAGAGCTTAAGTGACTTGCTCAAGCTACTATCAAAAGCCAGGCTGCAGAGACGAGTTGCTTTTCCTGGCCGCTCTCCCACCTCACCCTTCCCAGGGAGCAGGGTCTCCTCCGGAACAGAAGCTGGCTGGGGAGTGACTAACCCCCCGGAGGCCCTTAGCTGTTACACCCACCCTCTGGGGGAATGGGAGTGGGTGGGCACTCTCCTTAGGGAGAAGGTGCAGGACACCATCGCTGGGTCTCTGGGCACCTTGTCCTGACCCTGCCCTCTGCCCTCTGTCCTGGCAGGATGACGTCTCGGGAGCAGCTGGTACAGCAGGTGCTTCAGGAGCTGCAGGAGGCCGTGGAGTCCGAGGGCCTGGAGGGGCTCGTGGGTGCTGCTCTGGAGGCCAAGCAAGTCCTGTCGTCCTTCACCCTCCCCACCTGCCGAGAGGGGGGTTCCGGCCCCCAGGCGCTGGAGGTGGATTCCGTGGCCCTGAGCCTGTACCCGGAGGACGCTCCCCGGAACATGCTGCCGCTGGTGTGCAGAGGCGAGGGCAGCCTGCTGTTCGAGGCCGCCAGCGTGCTGCTGTGGGGCGATGCCGGCTTCAGCCTGGAGCTGCGGGCCCGCACGGTGGTGGAGATGCTGCTGCACCGGCATTACTACCTCCAGGGCATGATCGACTCCAAGGTGATGCTGCAAGCCGTGCGCTACTCCCTGCGCTCTGAGGAATCCCCCGAGATGACCAGCCTGCCATCCGCCACGCTGGAGGCCATCTTCGACGCGGATGTCAAGGCCACCTGCTTCCCCAACAGCTTCTCCAACGTGTGGCACTTGTACGCCCTCGCCTCCGTCCTGCGGCGCAACATCTACTCCATCTACCCCATGCGAAACCTCAAGATCCGGCCCTACTTTAACCGCGTCATCCGGCCCCGCCGCTGCGACCACGTGCCCGCCACGCTGCACATCATGTGGGCCGGCCAGCCCCTCACCAGCCACCTCTTCCGCCACCAGTACTTTGCCCCCGTGGTGGGGCTGGAGGAGGTGGAGGCCGAAAGTGACCCCGGCCAGCCCCCAGCGCCTCCAGCCCTGGCCCCGCTGCCGCCACCCGCCAAGACCCTGGCGCTGCTCAACCAGGAGCCCGGCCTCAGCTACTCCCACCTCTGTGAGCGCTATAGCGTCACCAAGAGCACCTTCTACCGCTGGCGGCGGCAGTCCCAGGAGCACCGGCAGAAGGTGGCCACGCGCTTCTCCGCCAAGCACTTCCTGCAGGACAGCTTCCACCGTGGGGGCGTCGTGCCGCTGCAGCAGTTCCTCCAGAGGTTCCCCGAGATCTCCCGCTCCACCTATTACGCCTGGAAGCAAGAGCTCCTGGGCTCTGGCACTTGCCAGGCCCTGGCCCCCAAGGAGGTGCAGGTGCTGGAGGAGCTGGAGAAGCTGCCGGACGAGCAGATCGCCAAGGGGCTGGGATGCTCGTCGCTGGCCGTGTCGAGCCCTGGCATGATCTTAATGCAGCGGGCCAAGTTGTACCTGGAGCACTGCATCTCCCTGAACACACTGGTACCCTATCGCTGCTTCAAACGCAGGTTCCCCGGCATCTCGCGGTCCACCTACTACAACTGGCGCCGGAAGGCCCTCCGAAGGAACCCCGGCTTCAAGCCGGCGCCGGCCCTCTCCACGGCCGGGGCTCCCCAGCCAGCGTCTGTTCCGGAGGAGGTCCTGCTCCCCTGGAAGGGTGAGGTGGGAGAGGGGCCGGGCCAAGCGACTGCGGGGGGACCGCCGGCCCCCCGTGAGCTCCTGCCCCCAAAGGTGCCCCTGTCCCGTTGGCAGAGGCGTCTGCGCAGGGCTGCCCGCAAGCAGGTGCTGAGCGGGCACCTCCCTTTCTGTCGCTTCCGCCTCCGCTACCCCAGCCTGTCGCCCTCTACCTTCTGGGTCTGGAAGAGTCTTGCCCGGAGTTGGCCCAGAAGCCTGTCCAAATTCCAGATGCAGGCCCCCAGCTTGGGCAAAGAAGGGATGGAAGCTGAGGAGAAGCAGGAGAAAGAAGCCTGCAGGGATGTGACCGCTGTGACGGCCCCTCCTGTGGGAGACCCCCCGCGGGTGGGGTCTTCTCCAGGAGAGGATCCGGGGAAAGCCCAGGGAGGGCCTTCCAGAGAGGGGGCCACCGCCCAGGGCCGGCCCCACAGCAGCCTCCCTGTGACCGAGGCGGCAGTGGGTGGCAGGGACGGCCAAGTGCTGGTGATGGACATGCTCGCCACCACAAAGTTCAAGGCCCAGGCCAAGCTGTTCTTGCAGAAACGCTTCCAGTCTAAGAGTTTCCCCTCCTTCAAGGAGTTCAGCGCCCTCTTTCCCCTCACTGCCCGCTCTACCTACTATATGTGGAAGCGGGCACTCTATGATGGCCTCACGCTGGTTGATGGCTGACAAGGAGGTGTGAAGGGGGCTGGGAGGAGAGGGGACCCGTTTGCAGAGGGTCAGCGACCTAAGTTGACGCCTGGCTTGGCCAGGATGCCCTTTGCTCTGGCTCCCACAGTGTCTGCCTTGACTCCAAGGGCAGCTTTGCGTTGTTTCTTGGCTCTCCGGCAGACAGAGCCCGAAATCAGCCCTCTGGTCTCCTGTGGAGAGCTACAAGACCAGAAACGTTCTCCATTTCAGTTGTTTGCCATTCTTGCTTTTTATTGTTGTCTTGGTTTTAGTTTGTTTTTGTTTTGATTTAAGTGGATTGGCTGGGCCCCCTGGCTGGTGTTGGAAACTGTATGTTTGGGGTGGGGGTTTGGTTAGCTAAAGTTGCTTTCAGCTCTTCCTGGGGACGGAAGAAGTATTGTAACATGGCGATCTGTCCCATTAAGCAGAATGTAGGTCTTCAGTTTCTTTTGGGGGTTGGCACCCTCCTTACTCAAAGCTGTTTCCCAAAGGAACATTAGAAATCAAACGTGGAGCAGGTCAGTGGCTTCTCTCTGGTGCCCCCAAAGGAGAGGGTGCCGGGCTCAGCATGAGACGTGAGGGCATACAGGAAGAACCTCTAGGGGAAGGCCCTGAACTGGATCACGGAGGTGCTGGCCTGTCCCTTGCAAGGAGTGTGGTAAGGGGCTGGGGGAGATGGCTTCAAGTCTCTGCTGGTGCTTGGCCCGTCTGCTGTGGACGCTTCAGTCCTCTGCCAGCCTGGTTGGCTCTTGGGGACCCTTGTCTTTCTGTCGAGTCCCTCCTCAGAGCCTGTGCCCCATCAGTGAGAGACCATACGGTGGCCAGGCAGGCGAGTAACTGAATTTGCATTGTCCAAGAGTCGAGTTGGAAAACCAAAGAAATAAAGTGATGTGGTGCCCATAGCCCTTGGTCTCTGGTATTTGTTTTGCCAGGATGTGACTGTTTATTCCCACATTCCCTTTGGTTGGCGGATGGAGGGGATTACTCTGGGGATTCTGTTTAGAATCGGATCTAGAGGTGACCTTGGGTGCTCTTCAGCTGGGGGTGGGGCCTGGAAAGATACTCCTACCCATGGGGGAAAAACTGGCCCACTAAGTGCCCCGGCAGCCAGCACAAGCGTCAAGTCAGGTCTGTGTCAGGCATTCTCTTTAGTGCTTGTCATGTACCCAGGCTCGGGTCAGGACACCTCGAGCCTCAGAGTGGCTAACTTTGCTAACCCCCTGCAGCAGGCTGAGCTTGAAGGCCAGACCTCAGCTTGTTAGGATGTGGCATCAGTGGCTGCTTTCCTCATGGTCTTGGGGAGTCATTCTTGGTTCTGTTTTTTTCACCCCCACATCCAGTCTATCAGCTGGTCTTGTTGACTGACTCCCAACTGTGCCCAGAACCCTCCCCCTCATGCTGCTGCCACATCCCCCCTCCTCTCCGTCTCCCTTCTGCTCTTGCCCCATACAATCCATGCCCCATAGAGCAGCCAGAGAGCGCTTAAAGTGAAATTGTATTCTTTCACTTTCCTAAGATGTATCCACGGCTTCCCTTCACTCTTAGAATTCCTTGCACAGCCTGACAAAAAGCCTTCGTAATCCAGCCCCTGGCTAGCTCTCCCTGCCTCTTGTCCCACTCTTGCCCTCACGCCCTCACCCGCCACCCTCCAGCCACACTGGCTGCCTCAGGTCTTGAACAAGCTACACTTGGTTTAAGGGCCTTCCCATTTGTTCCATTGGAACATCTTTACATGGCAGGCTCCTTACTATTCAGGTTTGAGTCACTGTTGCACTATTCTTTTAAATTCTCTGCTGCTTATGATGATATTTCTTGTTTATTTGGTTATTTGAGTACCCCACCCCCCATGCCATTAGAGTATAAGCTCCATGTAAAGCAGGGCTTTTTCCTGACTTGCTTACACACTGTATTCCCAGCAGGAAGATTAGTTCTTGGCACATAGTAGGTGCTACAATCTGTTTAAAGACGCAATGAGGGGCGCCTGGGTGGTTCAGTCGGTTAAACATCAGACCCTTGGTTTTGGCTCAGGTACTAATCTCACGGTTCGTGAGATTGAGCTCTGCGTTGGGCTCTGCACTGACAGTGTGGAGCCTGCTTGGGATTCTCTCTGTCTCTCTCAAATTTAAAGAAACATGGTGGGGGGGATGAATGAAATGGGGACACTATGCTTTTCCTGCTGTTGTCCTTTGGGATTGGTACTCAAATGTAATCAATCCTACTTCCTAAGTATCTCTCATTGGCCATTGTTTTCCATCCTACAGCAACCCCATAATCTAGGTCAGTGGGTGCTGTCATCTCTGATGCTGACTACCTCCATTCAAACTATCCCATTCCATCCTGACCAATGTGGGAATGATCTTGCTAAATCTGGCCTGCGATGGCCACCTATAGCCAGCAGGTGGCGATCTGGTGCAGCAAGAGGCAAGTCTCTGGGTTCCTAGTAGGTACAACCCTGTCTGGCTGTTTCCAACCTCAGCCTAACTCCTCTTACTGCCTTAGCTGTCAGAGGGTGGTACCAACCTCCCTCCTGAGAAGTGACCTGGTTGGGGCTCTAGATTCTGTTTGTCCTTTCCATGAGCTCTCAGAACCAGAGCAGATCTGATGTCCCCAGCAGTATCTCAAAGGGGTCTAAAAACCACCTGGATCTCAGTACCTGGGGGAGCTTATTAGGAATGTGGATTCCAGGGCCCCACCCAGATCCAATGATGGTCTTAGACATTGAAGAGGCAGCATATGCACATGGGTGAGTTAAACCTTGTACTTCACTTTCTCCATCTGTGAAATGGGGTTTGCATAGTAAGCACCAGATGAGCATTTGCTGTTAGTAACAATGATACCCAGTTTGAGAGCCCCTGGGAAGCTAATGTCCAGGGAGATTCTTGCTCAGGATTGCCCTGTAAATTAAAGATCCTCCATCCCCCAAACCGAAAGGTCCTTTTGTTCAAGGCCAGCTCTTCTGAGTCCCAAACCCACAGGGAGATACTTTAGCTTCTGTTGGGAACAAAAATAAGATTAAAAAAAAAATGATATGTCAGTATTTATTGATTTGGAAAATATTAGTATGGTTAAATTATTCTGGTGTAGAAAAACCATTTCCTTTGTAATTGCTTAGAAAGGCAGATTATACCTAAACAGTGACTGTGTTTGCTAAGAATACTTTATGCTGATTGCAAAGTTGACGTTTGTTGAAATTATTTGTATGTTTCTGCACCGCTTCCTCAAATGCAGATGTAGAAAGAAATTCCAGTGAAATGAACAATGTGAATAAAGGAAGAAAACAGAATACGTGAGGCTGGCTCTATAGCTTACAACATTCTGTGCCATTGTAGACTAATGGTTGGTTCTGCAAAATTTGAACATAAAAGCTTCACCCTGAAAATCAATCAGCTGTGAATAAGTAAAAATAAATTTATGTATTTATCCCCTGGGGGCAGGCGTCCTATATTTTGGTGGAGATTATCTTGTCTACCTTGATGCATGAGGTTGCTCCTCAAGTATTTTTCTGGAGGCCAGCACCCAGACCTTTGGGAGGCTCTTGGGCCCCGAGCAACCAACTCATACCTCACTTGCCCCTCCTGAATGTTCCACCAGCACCTTGGTCTCGCCAACTGCCAGTCTGGGCTCATTCCCCACCAACCTGCTCTTCTCTGAGTAGTTTTTAGATGCTGGTTGCTGCCAGCATCGGGTTAGCAGTTGAACTGGCCAGAAAGCTGGGCATAATCCTATAGTTTTCTCTCCCACATCCATCTTGGCAGGGCCCTCGGAACATTGCAGGCTTCACGTGGTTCCACACTGCTAGATTATCCAGGGAAGAGAATTGGACTGGTCCAGGCTGCCCTCCTCCGTTCCTAGTAGGAATGAGCAGAGCTCTCGTGCCAGGTCACGTCTGAGGCCACTCACCACCCAAGTCTGGTCCAGTTGTCTGGCTGAGGTGCTAGAATAGACTTGCTCACACAGGGTCTGGCAGATATGATAGGCTCCTGTCCAGCAACCCATGACAGGCTGAGCCCTGTGCTGTGAGCTGAGGGTACAGAGCCATTTGGCCTCAACTCTTGTCCTCACAAAGGCCTCCGTTTACTGGCAGCAATATGATAGAAGCTTCCATATGGAATGCACAACAAAGTGCGGTGGGTTCACAAGGAGGCACATGCCTGGCTTTGGCATCTCGTAGCTTCTCCTGATCCCCCCCCCCCCCCCCCCCCCCACCCCGCCGCCAACTTGTAGCTTCCCAGAGCCAGCTTTTCTCAGAAATACTAGCTGCCTGGGGGGTCTCTGGGAAATGCCTGGATTGCTCCTCAGATGACCTTAGTCTTTGGTTGTAAAGCACTTGTCCCAGTGTGATGGCTGTCACGGGAGGATGAGGGACAGGTGTCCTGACAAGGAAGTTAATAGGATGGAGATAGCAGGCTGAGAGGCCAAGCTCAGGAGTGCGTGCAGCGGGGACCTGCTCCAGCCTTCGGTGCTGTCTGCCCTTCTCACTGGCCTGACTTCCAACAGGGAGGTTTCAGTGTGATTTCACCTTCCCAACCTTGGCTAGTGATACACGAGGACACCTGTGGAGTATCACTAGCAGGTTCCGAAACGTTCCTATTACTGGTTTATCTCATGGAAGAGGAGGAGGAAGCTTTCAGGGAGATGAGAAGAGCAGCAGAAAGTAGGTTTAATAGTATGAAAAAATTTCCATGGAAAATGACTTTGAAAATAGCATGAAATCCGCTTACCTCTAGCGGCTCTTCTCTGCCAAGCAGAAAGAGCTGGAAGGGGGCAGGCGGACCTGACAGGAGGGCAGGCAGCTGCTCACATATCACCTGCCTGAGGAGACCAGGGGACAGTGGAGGGCAGATGGGCTGCGGCGGATCCTCCTCGGGGCCTCACCTATTCCAGACTTCGGCCCCCACGGTGCAGGCTGGTGGGAGGCGAGAAGTACAGGCTGTTGGGAGGTATTTGGAGGGAGAGCACCTGAGAAGCTTTGCTCAGAAGGGGTGCCAGTGCAGTTTGGT